AAATGACTGCTTATCCTCAGAGGATTCTTCCTTTTGATGGATGCCCATGTGTGAGAAATTTTTCTTACTTTTTCTTTCACTGCTCTGCGTGCCGAGGCTGTGTAGACTTGAAGTTCCTCATCAGAGCGGTTGTGTTTGTACCATCAGTAAGCACCCGGAGATCATCCTTATCCAGCTCCTCAGGGGTCAGTGCTCAGTATGTTACCTGTACTATTGATGATCTCCCTGAGGGAAATGCAGTTTCTTATGATTCAGTTTACTTTCAGAATAATGGCACTTTCCCCATAACGTTTTGGTCAAGTTCAGAGGCAGTTTGTGATCCACGAGAAATAAAATTCAAATATCCAGTGGACTATTCTATAGTTGTGAATGAGCAAAACAGGGCCTTAAAATCACATTTTTACACAATTTATTTAGATGTTTGAATATCTGCATTGTTGTAAGGCTCTGTCTGTATTAGTAGCTTTACAGACACAGAAACACAACTCTACACATGTCCCTGCATTGTTCTGAGACTAAACAAAACCAAAATAACCATCAAAAATTGTCTTTGCAGCAAGGACTGTGGAGCAGGACACCTTGTGTTAAAACAGGGCAACAAAGCTGTGGCAGTGGAACTTATTTCAGTGTTGAGGAAAAGGAGTTAGAAATCAGTCTGAGGGGAATCAAGAGGGCTGAAAGGCTTCCTGAATTCTGCTACTTCATGTTCCAGCATTTAAACAAAATCTGGTGACGTAGGAAATGCTAAGGTAAGTCAGGCCACTCACTGGTCTAGATAATCCATGAGCTGGTCTCCTTCAGGGCTAATGCTGTATGCTTGAGAAGAGGGTATAGAAGAACCCTGCAGCTGTAGTGGAAGGTTTCCATGAGGAGCTGTTTCTTTCTGGACATGGGGTGGAATAGGGAGCCAAGAGCTGCAGGCAGGTTTGAATGTTAAAGATGCAAACTCCTAGAAGAGCCTTTAAAACCCTATAAATAAATTATGTAAGAAAGAAAAAACCAGAGACAGTCTTACTACTCAAGCTTTTGAGAGCCATTAGGATAAAACAGAAGTCTTGACTACTAGTAATGTTTTAATACTGCTTTGCAGCTCTTCCATGCGTTGTGGGGGAGTGGAGTCATTGGAGTGGCTGTGCAGAACAATGTCAACCCGATCTGCGGATACGTAGGCGCTATGTACAACAGGAACCTAAAAATGGTGGGGAACCGTGTCCTGCTCTAGAGGAGAAGGCTGGCTGCCTGGAATACCTGACTTACCAGGGAGAGAACTGCGGCTATGAACATGGTATTCTCTCTTTGATTTATCTGTACATTGTGCCCATCAGGGCCTTCATAAACTTTACTGATGTCAATGAACAGAAAAAAAAGCATCTATCTGCAGCTAGCTGGTTAAAAATACAATTTAAAACCTTACTTTCTACTGTCATATTGCTCTTTATTTTAGTCATCTATTTTTTCCTACTCAGGCTTTTCTTAATTTCTATTAAGTAAACAACTAAACTGTATGCATTCCTTCAGTTTCTTGATTTAAGCCCCTCAGTAAGTATCAAATTATCTTTATGCAAAGTTAGAACACAAATTCAGTACGAAACAGGAAACAGAGCTCCTTGGAGGATTCCAGCACACCCTATTTCCTCACAGACTAGATGGCATGCATTTCTAGATATTTCCTCTGAATAAGGAGAGAGCTTAGCTGTAGGGAATGGAGTTGTGCTCTGACGTTGCCAACATTTTATCACTTTTTCAATAAAGTCAGTCAGCATCACCATCCACAAGCTCCTGATTCATTCACCCACTGTTACAGTAATTGAAATATGACTCAACTGTGTCTTGCTGCCTTACCGTAACTGTTTTCCTCCTCAGTCCCTGCTTTCATAACTACCTCTGAATACAGCAAAGAAAGGAAACGACGAGCAGCATCTTCTCTCTGGCCTTCAGACAAAGAAGCAGCTGGGTAATCTATTTATCATATGCATGTGGGTCATCTTGTTCAATAGAAAATAGCTGGCTACAGAGAAAAATGAAATTAAATTTGCAATAATTAAACAATAAGCTATAGATTGTACTGTTTTTCTCTGCTGTAGTTCACTTGCATGTTTTAGATGTTGTTTTTTATTCCTTGCTAATTGTCCTGAACTAGACACTGGGGACATGGCAAATCTGAGGATAGCTGCTTTTGAAAGCAAAGAGTAAATAATGTTAAACCAAAGCCAAATGTATCCTTAAAGCACAAGTCTGAGAAATTACACGTAGGTCTCTGAACAAACAAAATGGGCTGAATGGGATCGGTCTCAAGAGAGCTTTTTTAAAAATTGACAGAAGCAGCAAAAAATTTTGTTTGGTTACCAGTAAAGATGGTTATGAAGTTTAAATTAGGTTATTAGTGAGCGTGTAATGCTCATAATGCTTTGCCCTATGCTACTTTCCCCAGAAAAATAAAGCCTATCAGTATTCTTAAAGCCTCTTTTCCATTTTCTCTTTTAGCAGCATAGAAGAAAAAATATGGGTTACTGAGATCTGTGTTTCAACATAATTTAAGAATACAGAACACAACCAGAAAGTGAGATTATGCATAAAGCACTGGACTGGGGTGTGGAATAAGAAATAGTTTGTGTAATGTTTTTAGGAATCCATTGATTAGGCTTGGGTCGGACGCAGAGTTGTTAGCAATGATGATATCTGACTTGCACTTCACAAATACCACCTGTATGACATGTAAGTACATTTAAAGTGTATACCTAGCTTGTGCTTTATCGATCATAACTGATTTAGTACTTTTTCTTCCGAGCAGATATTGTGTGGAATTTAAAACAGAATCTCTTTCACACCACTGTGCTTTGGAGAATCGCCCGTACGCTCGATGGATGCAGTACCTACGAGAAGGTCATACTGTGTGTGTAGTTTGCCAGCCTCCAGCTATGAATACTGACACGCATCGTTGTTCTGGAGATGGCCATAATGCAGATGGGTAAAGAAAGTCATTTTTCTGCTGTCTCTTCTGTAGCAAAACCCAGTACAGCAGTTAAGACTTCTCAAGGTCTCATTAAAAGCTGCGTTTATTATACCTAAAAAATTAAATAGCTCATATAACTTGTAGAGCTCAGAAGACTTACCCTTTCAGTTCTCACAGAAACTGCTTTTAAAACCTAGATAAAATTGGGGAATAGTTTCAGTGTAAGAGTTCAGTGCTTTGAAGGCTTTATTTACTATTATGAAGGGATGATGCAACTTCTGTAGTGCGAGAATTCTTTTTACAGCTATGGGCACTTAAAAACAGTATTTCCCACCATAATCCAAATCTGATTTCAGGTTTAACAGTGGTGGATCAGTACTCCTTTCAAACCTATCTACACCTGGTTTCTAGAACAGTAATTTCGAAAGTAGACATTTAATATTCAGAACAATTTTTATTTGATCTGTACATTTATTACTACGCATAACACTTAATACCTGTACAACCAGCTACTCAATACACCATCCTGTATACTATACTTAGGAATATAGTGCCTGTTCCAAAAAGCATTTTAAGAGCTAGATGAGCTAATTAAAGTCTTACATTATTAAGCAAATCTAATCTTCTGGCATGTTATAGAACACAGCCTAGTAACGTGAAATATACAGTTTTCAGTGTTTTAATTCCTCATTTATTGTCACATTTCAGAGGTAAAATCTTACACTGGGAAGCAGTTGGCAACTCTCAGTGCCAAGGAACTTGGAAGAAGATTCGGCAACTGGAGCACTGTTCATGTCCCCTTGTACATAGCTTTATTTTTACATAAAAGTTTAAAAGACCTTTAAAATAGCAACAACAAAAAGATTTAAGAAAATTAACACCAGTGCCAAGAAACCTACATCTTTCTGCTGCATTTTCTGGAGCCTAAACAAACTTTAAAGAGAACTTTGGAAGAAGCATTTCAGGAAACTCTCTCTGCCTTAATACAAAACTCTAAGACTCATCTTAGAACACTAGAAGCATGTGTCCATGTTTCTCTCTTTTGTAATTAAAGAGCTAATGTTTTTAACCATAGTAGCTGCTTTTCCTGAAGTTCTCGTTCTTTACTGGCCACAGTCCTGTCTACAGGCACTGCTCCCACTCAGTAGTGAGCCAGCCAAACATTCTCAAGTCTGAGAACAGTTACTGTCATCACTAAATAGCAAGGGTGAATAAAAATGAAAGTTTGACAGCTAAACCAGGATTTCAGTTTAGATCCTTTGTTCTTTCCCAATATCATCTAGACAGTTGTTTATACTACAAGTGGATAAGTATTCTTCCTCTACATTGCAGTTTTCATGCTCAGCCACCTTCATAAAGACATACTAGGCAGTGTTGTTAAGGAAGTAGTCTTGCTCAGATCTTCATGTCACTAATACACAGTGTGAACTTTATGGCATATGAACCTAAACAACACTTTGTGACTAAAGCCTTGGCTAACATTAAAAAAAAAAAAATACTTGTTACTAGTTAAAATTGCTCATGTACAATGATTAACATAGAAACCTGCAATATTAGAGCACTGACAAGGCTGGTAGTTCAAATCCTTGTTTTGTTACCTATCACTTATCTTGAATTATTGTTACAGCATTAAAGGGGATGCATACTGCACTTTCTCACTCGTCAGATACCTGCTATGACTTTTTGAATTGTTGGCTTACAGCTGCTCTAGCATTCCTTGCTGAAGGACAAAGCCTGTATTTTATCATGATCCTGAAATTCACAATGTTTGCTAAAAAGAAATTATGCCTTAAGGCTGAGAAAATTTACTGTTAAGACATGCAGCATCTCTGTGGAACCTAAAGACTACTGCTTGCCACTGTTTCTAGCAGCTGCAAGAAGAAACCATAGCATCTGGTAGCAAGAATGAGGAAGGTGATCTGGCTGAGGTCCTGTCCACAATAAGAGTATGAAACAAACCATGGTAACCATACTTTACCTTTTTATCTTAATGGAAGCAGGCCTCCAAAACAGAAAGCAGAGAGGTTATCTTAATACCTCCTGAACATTTCAGCCTACAAGAATATATCTCTTCCTTCATAGCCAGGAAAAATCTCTCAGAGAGGTTTATTTTATTATGACCAGTTTGGACAGGTGCTTTTCCTTGTAAGTTCTTCCAAAATAAAAACCTTATCCAAGGACAAAGGTACAGAAAACATCTTAATTGAAGAGATTTTACTTTTAAAAGAATACTGTGATAGGTTAAGTTACTAGATTCACATCAGTATGACAGTGGAAAGTATGGGTTTTCTGCAGTTGTGGAACTCTTTTCCACACAGTCTGAATCAAGAGAGACGGTGTAGTACCACCATCCATTTGTTACAGTATCTCATGAGCAGGACATTTACAGTGACCAAATGACACCTTGATAGTTAGTTACCCCCATCAGAACGTATCTTTGCTTGCTATCACTGCAGAGACAGTGGAGAGCATAGACGAAACATGTCTCACGAGCTGTGCTATCAGTCTCAGTATAGAGTCATTACTGAGCCCTCTTCGGCCATTTGCGTTTAAGCTTTCCCTTTCCAGCTGGTCTAGAAGAAGCCACTTCTCAAGACAAGGTAGGTGGGCACAAGATAATCAAGAGATGTTAAGAGCTAATATCATACTGTTATTTTCCATGTTTTCCGTCTCTTCTGCAAGATAAAAAGTACTATTATGCCAATATACATAAGTTCAAAATAATCTTCCATGTAGAACTTAAGCTTAATTCTTAATTAAAAAAAAAAAGCAGCAATTTTACTACTTAGAAATATAAAATTACGTGGAGTATCACACATTTTTAACTGCAAAAAAAGGAATTGATTTGTAAAATCAGCAAAAACTTTACATAAATATTTTTGATATAACTTACTGACAGAGATGACAAGTCTGACCAAAATTTCAAAGTGAAGTACATCAGATAAGAATAGGTTATATGGCAGGAAGTAAAATGATAAAAAGCTCAATCTGACTAGAGGTACAACCCTTTAAAAGTACAGCTTCTGTCAAGCTAATCATGTTGCAAATCATTTAATACCCCTATGCCAATAATTGACCTTTCTTAAATCACTGTAAGCATTTTCACATTTCAGAAATTAGGTCTTCTATTGCATGTAGATAAAAGGCCAGGCTTTACATTTCAGTCATCATTACCCAAGCAAGTGAGCTTACATGAATGTTTTACACCTATTACTATTCTGTTTCATGTTTTAGGACAGCAACACTGCTGAACACTCCGAGACTAAAATAAGTTACTATTCTGAAAAACTAGCCTAGATCCTTATGTATGGAAAGGTCAAGATTCCTGTAGTCCAAGTTAGCCTTGTTCAATCCTGCACAGTGTTCTCCACCGGTCTTTTAACATGACACTAGTTCGGTTGTTGAAGTCACCATGGACCAAAATTTTAGCCCAGTTACCCACTCCAAATTCCCTTATTCCTGATTTCAGTTCCAAGTCTTCTTTGTAAGT